ATGTTATTTTCTAATCACTGTATTTTTTCCCATTCCTTCAAAGCTCTTTCACGAAAGAAAATCTTTATTTTCAGGTATCCTGTTGTGTACCCTTGCTTATGCACCTAACTTTTCTCTCCCTCAAGAATCAAACTCAACCTCAGCAGCTAATGAAGTCATTTGAGGGACTACAGAACATTAAAATGAGGTAACTATAAGGCAAAGATGCAAAATTAGTTTCCATGCCACCTGCGTGACCAGGATCTATCCAGCTGTGGTGCATTCTTATTTTACAGAAAGTAGCATCCGCTCTGCTTAAAATACACCTTGAGGGTACAGCAGAGACTGTAACACATTTGTACCGTGGTGCTGAACTGTGTGCCAGCCCCAGACATTGCAACGAAGGATGGTTGTTGCTAACAGCTTCAAGCGCAGCACGAAAGGACCTAAGAAAGAGGGGAAAAAAGCAGGAAAGAGCTTACGCTTGGATGTCTAGGGCCATCTGCCACTGCAGAAGTACAATACTGGATTCTTGAAATGTAAAAATAGATCTCAAAAGAGACATGTTTTAATGAACTGAACACAAAGAAACATGGTCGAAATAAACTGAAAACAGAAGCAAGGTTCAAGGATCTGTTTGTTAAATGAACACCCAAAGCCAGAATATGTTTTTAGTGCTGGAGAATGCTGGCTGTCTGGTTTCTGCTAAAGCCTCCGTTCTCTCTTTGGGATGCATGTGGGAGAAGGAGGGGGTGAATGGCAGCCCTTGTTTGTCCTCTCTTGAGGAATCTAATTATGTATCAATTGATTTCAAAGCCTGGAATAGTAACTCTCTAGAAAACACTCGCTCGGAGACATTGTTCCAATTTTCGTCTGTTCATAATTTATTCACCTCCAGTTTCAATGGGAAGGGCTCTCTCTCAGACTGATTCGCCCCCCGCAAGTTGCACAGAAAATCACAAGTTTGTGGACTTTAAAAAAACCCCAACAAAACCAAACAAAACGCGCACACACAGAGCAGGGCTGCGAGGCGAGGGAAGGAACAAAACCCGGCTCCTCCATCGCCGGGCTCACACACGCCGCTGCTGCAGCAGACAGCCCCACCATACCAGCTGGGAACCGACTTTTTTTCCCTCCCAGCCAGGGAAATAACCTTGTGCGGCAAGGAGAGCTGTGCACCCCACAACACCGTTGCCCCTCTATATGGCACTGCAGTGCGCTGAGGAATAGGGGTGCAAGGTGCAGGCTACTGCTTGTTCCTGGTGTTCAGAGCGCAAAAAAACAAACATGCTTTGGTAGCTATCCCCTCCAGCCCTGGTGCCACCCCATCTGCTCCAGCCAGCCTGGCTCACGGCCATCCTGGGGCTCCCCTCTGCACCGCGGACTGCCTCCAGCCACCTCACAGTGGCCACTGTAGAGAACCCCATCCCTGGGTCACCCACGCCACACAGTATGGGGGGTGATGGACCAGACCCAGCACCCTTGTAGCCCAAAGGCAGTGTATGTGTATTTGGGGTAGGGGTCTTGTTTGCTTGCAGAGGGAGGCGCATGGTGCCCTGTGTCCAGCACCACAGCCGCGTCCCCACCCCGGGTCGTGTGTGCCCCCCCCCAAAAAAAAGAAGCAACGGCAGCGGGTTGGGCGGCTTGAATCCATCCCTCCCCCGTCCTCGAAAGCAGCCGAGCCACGAGTCTCCTGTCATTCAGCCTTCTGCCCGACTGATCACTGTGAAAAGAGCCGCCCCGGTGACAGAAACACATGAATATTGACTGCAAACAAACCCCGGGGGAGCGGCACCTGGGGGGCTGCGAGCGCCGGCCCCCACCCCAGCCCACAGCCCGCGGGGGGACCGCACCCGCGTACGCGCACCCGCACACTCATTGCCCCCGCCCCGAGCGAAGTTCTCCTTCGGCTTTGCAAACCCCAGCCCAGACAAGGCGGAGGGGGGATGTCCGGCTGCGTACAGCCCCCCTGTTTCTCCTCCTCCCCCCGGTGTACCTGCCGCAGGCCGGGGAGGCGGCAGCTGAGTCTATATAGCTGGTGGGTTATAATGGGGCTGTCCCCCGGGGGGGAGGACCATAAAAGAAACACGTTTCATTTATAAGTTTCCCCCAGCTGGCCCCCGACTTTAGTCCTTATTCCCTTTCTGGAAAGGGGATGGAGGGTGATGTCTTCTACCACCCCCACCCCACCCCCCTTCATGTATGTACCCCAGGCTAAAATCTTCGCTTTCACTTCAAAATCCCAGTTTAAAGGCAAGAGTCATGGGGGAAGGGGGTAGGAGACAAAAGCTCTAACCCTCACGGTTTTCCATCTCTTTTTGGGCCATAGCACCCCTGATTATCCTTTTCCTCTCTACCTCCCCAGAGAAAAAAGTCATTAATATTTGCTTTAGAAATATACTTTCAAACAAACCTGTCCCCCACCCCGGAATTAAATAAACAGCATCTGGAAGCTAATATATCACCAAAGGCCCCCCTCCTTTTATTTTTTTCCTTCCCTATTGTTTAGGGCTATAAATAACGTTTCGGGTGGGTTTTATGGACGAGACACGTTTCTACGGTGTCTCCCCGGCCCGTCCGCCCCCCTTATACCGCCAGAGTGGGGTGCTGGGCAGGGGGTGCACGGGGGCCGCCCCCCCGCCAAGCCCCTATTAACCGCCTATTACAGGGAGTGGGGGCGGGGAAGGTGCAGATTTAAATGGTGTGTCGTCGTCCCCCCCTTCAAACGCAGACAATTTTGATGAGTGGGTTTTTGTCCGGATGGTTTGTAATGGTGCCTGTTTTGGGGTGTCCCGGGGGGTCCGGGAAGCTTTAATTCGCTCACAAAGGCTCATTTGCAGGTCAATGCCATGGCACACTCGCCTCTCCCCTTTGCCTAAATCTCCTTTTGTTCCCCATCGCCTGCTCCTCATGCCAGATGGCCGCGGAAAATGCTAATTTTCTCTCTCTCTCTCCCCGCTCCTTCCCCGCCTTCCCCCCCCCCCCCCCCTTTTTTTTTCCTCGCATTTAATTGCGGCCCTTTGCAGATGGGGGCTGCGGAGTGTGTGCTTCATTCAAATGAAGTTTGCTTTTTGGTTTCCAGGCACGTTTCTAAAAGTCCGATCTGAGTCAGGCAGGGATTAGTTTGACAGGGAAGTGATCAGATTAAAATCCGTGCATGAGCTCGGCCTTCTCGCTCCCTCCCTTTAAAGCTCTCCTCCTTCCCTGCCTTGCCTGCCGCTTTCCTCCGAGGAAAAAGGCAAATCTTTCTTTTCCTGAGCTGGCGGGAGCGATTTGGGATGGGAGGCAGGGCCGATTTTGCCTGGATCAGACAGGGTTCCACGGAAAACTCATCTTCTTGGGGCAGTGGGAAAATAAGCTTCCCTTAGCTAGCATCTTGCTATCAATAGGGTCATAAAACTGGATTTGGCATAAAAATAAGGATTTCTCTGTTTTTAAAAACTTCTTTTTGAAAAGGAAAGTGTTAGTATTGATGGGAAGAGGGGAGTGGGTACCACCATAGGTCTGAGTATCTGAGGGTGGAGAGGGAGACCAGGTTGTACAGAAGGCGGCACCTGTGGGTAGCTTTAGTATGCCAAACCCCAAGGGGGATCCAGACAGCTCCGAAGGTGTGGGAGTGAGGGAAAGCCACCAAAACGGGTTTGGAAAAGATGCTGAGGTGTGCCTTCCTCCTCAGTGTCTCCAGGGTTTCACTCGATTTTAGTAGGATCAGCTTGTCCTGAAATGGGGTCTATGGTTTTAGAAATGCTCAGAGGGGATCACACTGAAATGCTTGATCTCAACAAGGAAAAAAGTGACAAAAAGAGCAAAAATTATGTGTGTTTTTTTTTTTCCTTCTTTAAAGACAGACAGTGCTTGCAGCAATTATATGGGATGAAACTCAGACTCCTTCCACCTCCTTTTTATTGGGGCAAATTATTAATGTGCCTCACTGCATGCTGGCAACCCAGTGCTGCAGCTCAGCTCTGCATGGGTAACCTTGGGGCAAAGCTGTGAGCTCAGGCTGCCCTTCTCCCCACTCAAGGCTTTGTAATTTGAGGGGAGGGGAGGAGAGGAGGCTGTGCTCCTCTTCTTTACCCACTGGCAGGATGATTTTGACCCTGGGGTAGGAGGTGTGGGTTTGCCTCCTGGGTTTTCAGCTCGAAAGAGGTTATTCAAGGCAGGTCAGCCAGGTAAGCATCCCCACTGCTGTGCTGCTAATGCAACAAGAAAACTGCTTAATTCCTTTCCTCTCAGCCGTATTTTTAAGATACTTCTGCATTTTGGTTGGCACTGAGTTCAGAAGTGCTCTCTAGAGCAAATCTCTCAGCAGTAGGAAAGGCCCAAGGATATGCCCCAGTTGCCAGTGGGGCTGGACATGGATCAGCCACCACCAAGCTCTTCAGCTGGACTAAGGCTGGGGGCTCTGGGGTGGGTGCAGAGGCAGAGCTGTAAGGTGGCCTCTTGTGAAATCAGAGGTGGCAATTCTACAAAGCAGTGGTAGGGAAGAGTTGCAGTCTGAGCTCACAGAGGTACACAGGCCTCTTAAAAAACGCTAAAGTCCTATTCTTATTATGGGAGAGCGGGAAAAGTACATTAGTGTTAGAAAAACCTTTAAAACTATTTAACAGTGAGAGACAAACTTATCAGACAGCATATCAGTTTCTGTCCAGTTGCAAATCTACACTTTCTTTTTCCTGTATGGCTTTTATTAAAGCAAGCTGCTGATGTTTTCTTGCTGATTTTAGAGCATATCAGCCAACTGCTTTGCCTGAATTCTCCTTAGTTTTCTGGCTTAATTAAAACCAGCCTGCAAACAGTGACCCAGGTGTTATGCATGCCGGCAAATTGCTGGCACAGACACCTGGATCCCTGTCTGCAGGCTGGGGGAGCTGCTCCCAAGCAAGGGTTATTTGTCAGGCAGTAAAAAAGAATATATATATATATATATGTATTTTTATATACATATACATTTTAAACTTTTGGTTTTGAATTATCTGTATGTTGTGATTTTTGGAACATAACAAAAATACCATGAAAAAAATCATCATGCATTGTGATTTGATTGTGCCCTAAGAGAGAAATTGCAAGCTTCAGCTTTGGGACTTAGGGGTGAGAAGGAATCAAGTGATGCCTTTGCCTGCCAGGTAGGACTCTGAACTGGGGTATGGGTATGTGAATGCAGTCTGCTTTTCGCCTCTCCTTCTTGGGGAATCAGAGTTCTGGATTGAATTGATCTATTAAAGAATGAACCACTGCATTGCACTGGGTATTAGGGCTTCATAACTCATTCTGAATAAAATCTAATGTAGAACAACCATTCCCTTTTGGATAAGTAGCAAAAAAAAGGCAAAATTACAGTAGACAAAGATTTAACCCTACTGTGCCTTAAAGCTTCAGTAACTTTCTCTCACTTGCTCTTTTTATTTTTAATTTGGGGAAGGGCACATCCCATCTATTCGGGATTTTTGTTTAAGTTACGTTTGTTTCTTTAAGAATTCAAGAACATTTATTTGCTTAAAGGCTTGCCAGTGAAAAGGCCCCAGGTCTAATCCCTTTCTGCTACACACCAATGAAACTTAGGAAACTCTTTGACTATTGACTTTTTCACGTGGAAACTGATCTACTGAAAGTGAAAAGAAACCATTTCTTGGAGGGGGGAAGAAAAACCTCTGTGAAACTCTGTTTTGAAAAAGTCGTCGTCCTTGGCCTGTGGAGTAGCAGCAGAAGCAAAGGCTTTTTGATCCTCAGATTTGTAAACTTGTAGACATAATAATGCCATTTCTCTAGTGTTAGCAGGTGTCCTGTCTGGAAGTTGCTGCCTCAGCCTCCAGCAGAGCTGGGAATTAGAAAATTGTCTGTCTTTCCTGAACCGTGAAGTGCTGCTCTTAAATAAAGGCCAGGTCAGATGTTAAAGGGACATTCTTGTCTCCTGAAGCTGAAATAATCTACAGTCACATCGAGAAATGAAGGCATCCTCCTCCCAAAATGGTCAATCTCTTTATCTCCCATTATAGTCCACAGGGTCAAGAAAAAAAAACACAACAACCCTTCTGAGCTGATGTTTTGCAATATTTCTCCTCAGTCTGTAATTATCCTGGTTCTGTATAGCTGAATTTCAGGGAAATATGGTAATTAGGAAAGTTTTATTCTTTCCTTTTTTTTTTTCTCCTCCCCCCTGTTGTCCTTCCTCTCCCAGAACAGTTCAGTGAACACAGAGGAAGCTACAAATATAAATTCAGTATCTGCTCTCTGCTTCTTAATGGCTCTCAAATTAAATTACAATTTTAAAATTATTACTTAGTATGGTTAAAGAGATTTTTTGCACCAACTCCTTGAAATCCTGCAGACAGGCACAAACCCAAAACCAATGAGCACATCTTGTAATTTGCAGCTAATTCCCTCTGATAAGGTGTCCTTGCAGGCTGTGGTTTATGGATGTTTGGTAACAGTGATTATTATGGAAATTATCCCTGAATCTCCTCCTGTATGCCCCTGCTGCTGCTTGAAGCTGTGCTGTCCTGTGTTGCACACACACTAGCAAATGCAAACTGCTCCTTTTATTTATGCTATAGAAAGGCTGTGCATGGCCAGAGGAGCACCCCAGCACAGCAGTTGTACTGACAGGGAAAAAGGGTTCCTGCTAGCAGCTGTGGGGTGTCCTCACTGTCCTTGACCATGTCCTGCTGTCCTGCTTGTACTCAGTGGTGCCTTTTGCCATCCCAGCGCAAATTAAACACATGCTCCCCAGCAATTCCCAACCCCTGTAACATCCAGTAACCTGCTGCTCTCCCTGGGCTCCTCATTGGTGCAGCACAGGACAGCAGTCCTCCGTGGCAGCAGTCCTGCGTGGCAGCCAGAGGAGAGGAGGGATGAGAGTCTAGGAGTGCTGAAGTGGGTTTCAGGTACCACCACATCCTCTCCATGCAGAAAAGCCTGGTTGTAGCAGCTGCAAAGTTTTGGTTTTGGCAGAAAAGGTGGACTTTTTCCTCTGGAGGGATATGCATACCGACTCAGTTAGTGGGATGAAGAAACAGGTTTGACCTAATGTGGTGCAGAAGAAAATGGAGAACCAGGTGTTGGTATTTCCAGTCCTGCTTACTCATCTGGGTGAGAGCAAAACCTGGAAAAAAAAGAAAGATCCAAAGCTTTGGGCACCACCAGCCAGCAGATGGTATGTTGTACAGCACCAGCAAAACTGAAGTTACGTAATCTAGAGCCACATTAGAAAATGCCTTGAATGAAGGTCTTAGGAAAAGCAAGCTTTGCTGAACCAATTATCCTTGCATGTATGAAAACAACTTAATTCATGCCCATTGTTTTCTGGTTAAATTTGTGGAGATCTTGGGTCCCAGTATGTCTCAAGCTTCTTGATGTGACCCAAACAAGGACTTTTCCTCTGATGCTGTGTAAAAACAGATGCAATAGTGGTGGTGTATTCTTGGGAAGGGTGGTTTGGTTTTGTCGGTTTGTTTTTCAGGAGGCTGGTTTGCACATGCACTGGCAGCAGCCTTCACAGAGAGTGGCGTGCAAGCGGAGCTGTGTGCTCCTGTCCCCCGAATCCAGCATCACTCAGAAATAGCCCTGATCAAAGCATCTTCCAGTTGTGAAAAATTCTTCTCCTTTCCTCTGCCACATAGCCAGGCACAGGGGTGACTTCCTAGGCTTGCTGTGATGGCAAAAGCAGTGGAGACCATGGTCTGGAGTTGAGGTGCTGTGCATGCAGGGGTTTGGGAGGTCATCTTGTCTCCCCTGTCATGGAGAGTGGGCAGTGTGAGGGTGGGACTGATGTGTGCCAAGCAGTGGAAAAAGATGTGGTGAGGTGAAAAGACTTATCAAAGCTCGAGTAGTGAGCATTCTGTTAGTGTAGGGGCTTGAAAAAGCTGATTTTGAATGTTTTTTAGGTTCCTTCTGTAGGTTATGTCCAACAAGTAGTCTAGCGTGTTCGATGAGGAGCAGGTGAGGATGAGGGAAGTCAGGGCCACGGCTCTGCCCCCTTGTGTCTGTGCACGATGATAAAATCTTTTAATTAAATGATCGCACTGAGTGCACAGAGTGAACGGTGCTCGCTTAATGAGCAGTTGCTCAATTTTGTTTTTCTCACCGCTCTATAGACGGGGCTATGTCCTATTAACTATGCACTATTCAAACCCTGCTCAAAGACATTATTAATTTTCCCACTGGGTTTATACAGTGCTGCTCACAGTAGTATCTGAAAGCTTTTCAAACATTAACGGATTAAAATATAAATGACGAGCGTTATTATTCCTGTTTAATGATGGTGGCCAACATAAAAAGCAATGAGAGCTAATAATTAATTCTGAGTGCTGGTCCAAGGTACCCCTAGCCATCCTGTTCCAAGCCCTGGGCTTTGTCTGGCTGAAACCATATGCAGAGCCTGATGCTCAGTGACCCTGACTGCAGCTGTGGATGCTCAGTACCTTCTTTGCGAGTTGGACCCAAGCATCTCCTATTAGATACCCAACAAAGATGAGCACAATTAGTAGCTGCACACAAAAACTTCAAGCACCTTGCCCAGGACTGCACAAAGCTTCTGTTACAGGAACAGGTCAGGAGGAGTCAGTTGACCTCCAAAGAATAAAAACCTGCATCCAGCAGTTGGCATTGGATTAAGCACAAAAGCAGCCTGCAGGCTCTTGCTTTACTTTCTCAGCTTCTCTGGCCAGTTCCCCCAGCAATTTCCCCTTTGCCACACAGCTCAGATTCATTCTGCAAGTGAAAGTGCCTGCATGATGTGGGTAGAGTGTGCCCTGAGGCAACAAATTGTGAGCATGCCTGTGAAAATGCACTGTGAGCAAAGGATCTGGGCTGAAATTGTACAGACAGCTCAGGCACTTCTGAAACTTGAGAGTTTCCTTCCCAGCCCTCATTCTGTGTGTAATACAAGTGTAGTGCCTGTGGAGGAGAGAGCATCATGTACTGCAAATCTGGTAGAGGAGAGTGAGTAATCCTGGGGTGATGAGAAGCCTAGTAACTCCTCATCAAGGCTGGGGTGTTTCAGATCCCACACTGACCTGGGCCACAGGGATAATACATAACAGATTATCGTTAGTACCCATATATAGGTGAGTCGAGGGAGGGACTGGACGTTTTCAGATGAGTTTCATGGATGTTTGGTGGTGGGAGAGGTGTGTTGCGGCCAGGCAGCCTCTGAAGGAATGTGCAGAATATAAATAAATATATAATGAAGAATATAAATGGCCTGTTCCCTTCTGTCCCTCCCCTTGTACACAGTGTGATGCTCTCTGCCCAGGCTCTCTCAGTGTATCCTAGCTTCTAATGTGCTTCTGTTCCACCTGTACCCTGTTAGCCGCATCCTCTGCATTTTGTAGTGCTGCCTCCCAGTCCCTGCCTCCTGTTCCCTTTCCCTGCATCCCTGTCTCCATTGTATAGATTGGGACCCAGTGACACCACAGATGCAGACGTGAGGCTGCACAACCACCACTGGCCATTGGTTTTGCTGCAGCAGAGGCTTGTCTGTGCAGACTGGGGAAAGTGGTTCCAAAATTTAGTTTGTCCTATGTTTAAAAACAAAATTGAGGTATTTTTTTTCTTATCTCATAGCAGGGCCTGCTTCTGGGGGTTTACATTCTGTGCAGCTTACCTAATGGTTTAGCATCTTTCTTCTCCTTTCTTCCCCCAAAATCTGTCTAAGCAAAAGTTTCTTGGAGATACAGGGCTAAAAATACCCCTTGATTTAAAAACAAACAAACAAACAAAAACATTTAGTTCTTTTTGTTGAGAATTTCACCACTGACACCAAAAGAGACTGCATCGTCTTTACCACTCTATATGCTGTGTGATATAAGAGGAGATACTTGGTTCTACCCTCCTTTCTCTGTAAATCAGAATAACACGTATAATCCTACCCTTTCATCTTCCAAAGACTTTTGGTTAGTGTTCAGGCCTGCTTTGTTCTAAAAAGGCTTCTCAAGAACATTTCTGAGAGGCTACATGCTAGTGGAGGGGAAAGCATTGGAAAACCATTTACTCTGTAGCAGTAGATGATGAAGTGGCTAAACCCCCCACCAGCTCCCTGATTAATTATTTTATACTCCCTGATTAATTATTTCATGCATATATGTGTGTGGGTTTGTGTATATGGATGCATTCTTCCTCTTCACATCTGTTTCTCTGCTTAAACATGGTCAATTCAATTTCTGTCTCCCTGCGTGCATCCCTCGCATGGATCTTCAGGTGTAGCCATCCTACCAAGCAATCACAACTCTTCGCAAATGAATTGGGCATGTAGCGAACGTATTTTATTTCAGTACTCAAACATAAGAAATTATTCCTTAAAAATGATGTGTTTTTTTCCCCATCCTGTTACCTACACCTCCTGCTCATTAGCGACAAATATTTGCTCAAGAAGTGGAAAGCAGCTTTTTGTTTATTTTAAGCTATAACAGAACAAGTTTTGGCCTGGAAAGAAAAGTTGAGGCTGGGAAGGAGAATTGATTCCCAGTGTCAACCATATGTTACATTCATCTAACTGAAGTGGCTTAATTACTGGTAGATGTTGCCATGCTCATAAAGATAGCGCTAACCGTTGTGCCAAGACTTGTTTGCTGATAATTGCATTTCCTAAAAAAAAAAGAAGGGGGCGGGGGGAGGGAGAAAAAATCTGGAAGATTTCCTCCCGCCAAGCTTCCCTTACAGTCTTCCTGCAGTGCCCTTTCCTTTTAGGAACTCACTGCAGGATTCAAAAGATGCTTGTTTGAAACGAAACTTTGTAGGTTTGGCAATGTTAATGCTCCTGTCTCTATCACTCTCGGGGCAGGGGAGGTGCTGCAGTCAGTAGCCATCCCTCAAACTCACAGCTCTTGCTTCTCAGGAGACTGAGCGGTGGTGATTTGGCATAGATTATTCCTCTAATTGCATGGCTGGCTTTAGCC